GTACGCATTCAGATAGCATTTTATTCTTGGTATTACTACAAAAAACGGATTAAAATTAGTTGAAAAGAGTTATAAACATAGCAATGTATGCTAATCTTTCCTACTAGAATAAAGTGTGGACTGGCACATAACATGTCTAGATCCTTTGTCCTAGCGCTGTCAAACCCCAGAAGCTTAAGAAGGATCAAAATCAAACAATCTGAAAGTTATCAGCAAAGGCAATTAAATCATGGTTTATCTAACAAAACAACTTCATCAGGTCTAAAAGATCTACAGCTGGAAAATTCGAGTAGCTAACTAATTATCAATTCACTCTTAACAATGTTCTCTATCTTTGTTCCGAAGATTATACTTGCCTGGTTCTCTAGGCCATTACAGAGCTCAGACCGCAATAGTTTTCTCCATATTTCCTATATGCTTTGATTTTGACCCATAGCCAACTTTGGGACCACTTCGGAAACAGGTCAGATCATCCTGATTGCAAATTGAGGATCTGGAGGAACTTTCAATTGGATAGCGCTCAAAAATATTCAAAGATTGTCTTGCTTTATTTGTTAACATTCTTCCTAAAGGTATTGTCGATGCAATCTAACAGTTTCTGGGATAACATTTGCATAATTTGCAACTTAGCAAAGAATTAGCTCGAAAATGATCGTCATTGCCCACCAAGAATATGCTCTTGTGTATGCCTAGAAAGTGGATATCTTAACAGCCAATTACCTCAACGAATTAATACAAACAGGACATACCTTCAATGTTAAGTAGGCTAACGCTATTATTAACTTGGTTGGGGCAGGTTAGAAGAATGTTTTGAAGTGGACTTTCATTTCTTGTGAAAATGTGTCTGATGAAGAGTTTCGAAGATTAATTAGACCAGAAGACGACTGCCAATTCCCGCTCTTATGAAAACGTTTGATAATGACTTTCACGTTGATGCAACTCATGAAGCATCCTCTCTAATTTGATATAAAAAGAGCCTAAGCTTCTGTCCGTCGAACAAAAGATATCATATCCTTGCAAAGACTTCAAGTCAAAACTAGGTCAAGAAGACTATTAGGCTTTATCCTACATGCTATATAGACTGAAAATTAAAAACGAAAATATAAAGATATAAATAGATATATATAATGATGAGGTTAGTTCATTTTTATATTAATCAAGATACTTATACTTGGGTGTATGCGTGCGCTTGATCTGTACAAGTGTGAGTGAAAGTAAATAATACTTATCATAACTCAGGATACCTACTATAAAGCATATTGACAGTCCCAGGTCATCAAGGTTTAAATGAGCCATTTGGGAATATAACTGGGACTATATCTCTTTCATTGTATATATTCTCGTTTTTAGTTGTATATAAAACATGTAGGATGGAGCCAACTAATCGTCTTGACTTAGTATTAACTTGAGGCCTTTGCAAAAATGCGTTTTATCTCTGACGCTATCTGTCGTACTACTGTCCCATTTTTACCCGAAACGCGAAAGGAGGCTTCGTGAGCTACGTTAAGCTGAATCGAAATCAAGTCAGAGGGGACTGCAAAAGAACAATAATTGGTCACCGACCGACGAATATCTTCATAATGCAGGCAATCCCACACGAAATAAAAAGTAACATATTAATATTCTCTCAGAAGATTCATTAAAACGCAGTAACGCTTCGTAAACACAAGCTAAAAGTACGACCGCCTCAGAAGGACTAAGAAATTTAGTGAAAATAATAAAGTTGTTAAGATTAAACCAAGGGACATTTCTTCTCTCGAACATGAGCCTCATCCTCTCAGCCTTGCGCCGTTTCATTTTGTCTCTTGTTTCCCCGGCTCTCCAGGCTTCGGTACGGTCCTGATTCAAAACCCAAGTCCCGAGTGAGGACAAGAAAGGAGTCACGCTTCACGACAGCCTCCTATCAGTCCTTCCTGGCAGATGGTGCCTCAGCTCTGAAGAGCCTCAGCACTCGCAGCCACCTTGACATGCCATTCATCAACACCTACCGTGTTCGTGCTTTCCGCTTCACGATCCTGATGGATGAGACTGAAAATGGTCGCATATCCAAGCCAAATAGGAAGATAACGCCCGAAAAAGGCATGATTGACAGTCTGGAGGCAGACAAAGGCCAGCTGGGAGGCCCTAAAAGCTTGGGCATGAAGACCTCGGTGTGGTCAGGCGATGGCGAGGCCATGGAACAGCAGAATATTATTTGCATGTAAAATTGCTCAAATCTAATATATAAAGTTACCATGCATATGTCTGCTTGTGTGACTGTATACGTCTTCTTCTGCGTATCCATCTATCTACCAACCTCTCTCTCTCTCTCTCTCTCTATATATATATATATATATAT